AAAAAAAAAATAAAACACATTCTCCACTTAAAAAAGAAAGCACAAGCAAAAGAAAGCCTCACCCTCTCCGAAAAGACTGCAGTGAAAGTTAAAGGCTTTCTAGCCCCAGAAATAACTAGGAAATCTGCTCAAGAATCCCTCCTCCCTATGCACTTCTGGGTATATGTCCTTGTGGAAATCATCAGTCACCATTCCTGGTCATTGTCATGTATGTGTTAACACTGTACATACCATGCTACCACTTGCTTTTGTCACTGGCCCTTGCTTGGTGATTTGCTCTGGCAATTTGACAAAAGGGTTTACCCTGATTCTACTTCATGGCTTCTATCTCAGGCACGTGTGCAGCCCAGCCTGGGGAACCCAGCCTGAGTTTCCCACAAGCATAAACAATAAAGTGGTGAACATCTGGTGCACATGTGTTGTTCTTGCCTTTCTTTTTTGGGGGGGAGGAGTTGACCCTGGGGATTGAACCCAGGGCCTTTGCACTGGCTACGACCCTCATTCCTATTTTTTGTTTTTAAATTTGAGACATGGTCTCATTAAATCACCCAGGTTGCTGTTACTTTTTTTTTTTTTTTTTTGGAACCAGGGATTGAACTCAGATCCTTGCGTTTGCCAGTCAAGCGCTTATCCTACTGAGCCATCTCCCCATTGCTGTTACTTTTGCAACTAAAACACAAATCAAAAGAATATATGTCCAAGTGGTTTGGGGCAAAGACACCTAAGTCCTTCCAGGAGAGATGCTTCTTAGGCAAAGTGTTCAAGAATGAACAGGAGATTGGGAGATACAGCTCAGTGGTACAGCACCTGCCCGACAAGTGCAAAGTCCTGAGTTCAATTCCTGACACCAAAAACAAAACAAAACAGGAATTTGCTAAGTAGACAAAGTGCTGATTCTGGGATAGTGTGGCAGAGAAAACAGATTTGTGTTTTGTTTGTGCAAAATTGATGGACAGTATTTAAGGAAGCAGGATTGTATTGCTTTTCAAAATGGCAGGGTTTTAACACTTAAACAAAACAAAACAAAACAAAAAAAAAAACAAAAACAAAAACAAAAAACCACGCTTAAATCTCAGAGTTGCTGGACACAAGGCAAGCAGATGCCTATCTTACAGATAAAGGTTGAGTCTGCCTCGTCATACAATGTGGCTGGATAACCAATCCCCGCACAGGAAGCAGGTGGCTGCCACCATCACACCTCTTTCTTGTAAAAGAAAGAAAAAGTATTGGCAGCACAAGTCTCTGCCTTTTAGAAGTGTCTGTTTTGTTTTGTCGTGTTCAGTCAGGGTTTCCTTAGGCCGTTCAGGCTGGCCATTAATTCACTTTGTAGCCCAGGCTGATCTCAAACTTGCAGCGATCCTCCTACCTCAGCCTCTTGAGTGTGGGGATTATAGGCGTACGTCACCAGACTCGGCCAAGAAATGTGTTCTAAGGCACCAGAAAAAAACGTTTGGGGGGCCGGGGAGATGGCTCAGTGGAATAAACACTTCCCTGGCAAGCGCAAGGGCCTGAGTTCAATCCCTGGTTGGGGGGGGGGGAAGTTTGCAAACAGCAACCTGTTAGATTAACCCCAGCCCTAAAAGAATGAAAAGTGAGTGAGTGAGAGAAGGAAAGAAGGAGGGAGGGAGGGAGAGAGACAGACAGACAGACAGACTGAGAGCGGAAAGAAGAGACATGGAAACAAAGCTTTGTAAATGGAACAGGGAGAAGGGGTTGAAGAGAGCAGGGGAACGGTGAAAAAAAAAAAAAAAAAAAACAAGTTATACTATGTACAGGTACAAATTCTCTATGATGAATGTGATTGTTATGTATATCTAAGGCGTATCAATAAAATCTGATTTTAAAAAAAGATAACCCCAGCCTAGAGATGGAACCAAGTCCCACTACCAAGTCACCATCTTTGGTTGCAAAGCAGGAGACAAGGCTGAGGGTGTAGCTTGGTGGCATAGTGCTGGCCTGGCGAGTGCAAGGTCATGAATCTGACTGCCGATACAAAAAAAAAAAAAAAAAAGGAAAGGGGGTGACAACCACTTTTTGGGGAGCCTGTCGCTACCTCCCAACATGCACAGGCACACATGCACGCAGGATAACTCAGAAGGCTTCTTAGCAGCGAGATGTCCTGACCTGGTCCCCGAGCCTCTGTGCGCCTGTCTCTTACTCCAGCTACTATCACCTGGAGATTTTTGCACATCTACAGCGACAGCCGAGAGGGGAGGGGCGGAAAGGCTGGGGCAGTGGGCCTGGGAAGCTGAATTTAACGTGCACGAAGGCTTTCCCTCACCGACAGTCTGAAGGCGGAGCTGCCGGGGCGGCCCCGCAGCGCTTCCCACGCCCGGGAGGGCGGGGCGGCGTGGGTGTGCGCGGGCAGCCGGGCCCAGCTTTTAACCCGGCAGGCGCACTCTGCACGCTCCAGCTGCGGGGCAAACTCCGCGCCTGGCACGCAGGACAGAGCTTGGAGGGAGGTTGGAGGGAGTTGAAAGCCGACCGCCCCGGAGTGGGAGGAGAGGAGCAGACGCCGGAACGGGAACCGCGAGCGGAGCTGACCGCCGGGGGTCGCAGGGAGGAACAATCCCCAGCCCAGCCCCATCCACACCAGCTGGGACAAACAGACCCGCCCTGCGCTCCCCAGTGTGTCTGTTGCTGCCTCCGGCGCCCCCCGGGGACGCCGTGACCATCAAGCCCCTCGTTTCGAGCAGCACCGGGCGGTCCCTGCAAGCGGCGCAGGGCGCGGCCATGGAGCCGGGCACGGACGGCGCGGCGGGCGACCCGTACCGGCGGCCGGCGCGGCGCACACAGTGGCTGCTGAGTGCCCTCGCGCACCACTACGGGCTGGACCGCGGCGTGGAGAACGAGATCGTGGTGCTGGCCACCGGCCTGGACCAGTACCTGCAGGAGGTCTTCCACCACCTGGACTGCCGCGGCGCCGGCCGCCTGCCCCGCGCCGACTTCCGCGCGCTCTGCGCGGTGCTGGGACTGCGCGCCGAGGGCACCGCCACTGGGGAGGCCGCGCGGGACGGCGCCGCGGGAGACGCGAGCGGTGAGGATGGCGCCGCTGACGGGGATGCGCGCTCTGAGCCTGTGGCTGCCGACGGGGACACGGACACGGAGGAGGAGGCGCGCCTGGCGCTGCACGCCGAGCCGCCGGAGCTGACTTTCCGCCAGTTCCACGCGCGCCTCTGCGGCTACTTCGGCACCCGCGCCGGGCCCCGGCTGCCCCGCGGCGCGCTCAGCGAGCACATCGAGACGCAGATCCGCCTGCGCCGCCCGCGTCGCCGCCGCCGCTCTCCCCGCGCCTCCTGCCCCGACGGCGGCCCTGAGGGCTGCGGCCCGGACAGCGAACGCGTGGCGCGGCTGGAGGAGGAGAACGGCAGCCTGCGCGAGCTGGTGGAGGACCTGCGCGCTGCGCTGCAGAGCAGTGACGCGCGCTGCCTCGCGCTGCAGGTTCGTGCTGAGAAGTTCCACGGAGCGGGGGTGGGGTGGGGTCTGGTCCACAGGGTTGGGCAGAGGAGGCGGCGGAAGGGAACAGAGGGGACAGCCCTACCCACTGTACTTACGTCCTTGTTTCCTGTCCTTACCCGACCCCATTCCATTCCACTCCACTCCATCCCAATCCCCACCCCCACCTCCCCTCGCCTTCGTTGGGGGATCTGCACCTAGGAGAGCTGTAATGTGCTACAACACTAGCTCTTTATATTTTAATTAAGATAGGGTTGGTCTTACTAAATTGTCCAGGTTGGATTTGAATTTTCTGCCCTCCCACCTCAGCCTCCTGAATAGCTGGCATTACAGGTGTGCGCCACGGTTTCCTCCCACAGCCTCTATTGTTATCACCGGTCCACTCACCAAACGGCCTGTTATCTCCAGGCCCACGTTCATAGCCATTCCACACACTGTCACCACCCTGACTCCCCTCTCCAAGAGTGCAGGCCTCCCTGCCTAATGGGGAGAGAGCTGCTCTCCTATCAGCAAATGCTATGAGGTGCCCTCAGGGCCAGGCCTGGAGCCCACGTGGCCAACACTAGATTACAGGGTGGCAGTCTCTTGCCATCAAGCACTGACACAACCAGACCTGCTTCTAGCTATGAAGCATTCCTGGAGCTGGACACAGATCTGAGATCAGTCAGCAAACTTTAGCTGTGTACCCAGCCATGTGTCAGGGTCAGTGCCAGGGGCCAGAAGTCAAAGAAGGAAAGGAGCAGACTGTACCCAGGGGATGGCAAGGGCAGGGGGAGTGCACTATTATACAGGACCTCTCCTACTGCCCTGAACCTGGTCACCTGGGGGGTGGGGTCGCAGAGAGGACACAAGGTGTGGCTCAGGGCCAGGTGTGCACAGGATGGAGCAGGTGACATGGACTAGGCTAAGCCAAGGATGCAGGTGGGGAAGGCTGATGCTGCCAGCTTGCAGTGTGCATCACCTGTAGACTAAAGGCTATGGCCACTGGAGCAGAGGCCACAAAGCCACCAAATTTGCGGATCACTTTTATTTTTGGAAAAGAGTCCCAAAATGTCCAGGCTACCCTGACCTACAAGCGATCTTTCTGCCTCAGCCTCCCAAGGGCTAGGGTCACAAGTGTATACCCACAGGCTCACTAGAGAATCGCTGTTCTGCGAAGCACAGTATGTGAGCTTCCTGACCAAGTCGCCCCTCCCTCTAATTCGGTAATTTATTCATTATTCAGTAAGCAGCACGCAGTGAAATGCACAGCTGCCTGGTCACTGTGCCCCCATGCTCTGGATGGTGGCGGTGGCTGAGGTGGCACTGCCTCCCTGCGGCTCAGCTGGGGAGGACGCTCAGCCCTTCCCTCTGTCCCTGCAGGTCGGTCTCTGGAAGAGCCAGGCGGGCACCCCGGACACGGCGGCACAGGAACTGAGGCAGGCACAGGGCGCCCTGGCGGCTGCAGAGGCTTGCGCAGGGCGGCTGAGGCGCTGCCAGGTGGAGGTGCGGCGCCGCGCGGAGGAGGCCCGGCGGGTGGTGCTGTGCAGCCTGCGCCGAGTACGCGAGCTCGAGGCCCTGGCGCGGCAGGTGCCTGGCCTACAGCGCTGGGGGAGGAGGCTGGAGGCAGAGCTGCAGCGCTGCAGGTGAGCGGGGTCTCCCAAGCCCTGGGGGTGCAGCCCCTGACTGCCCACGTGTCCTTGTGTTCTCAGGCAGGTGGTTGTGTGCACCTCGCTTTCTCTGTCCAATCTTCCATTTCTTTTCCTTTTTTTTTTTTTTTTTTGAGACAGTCACATTATGTAGTTTAGGCTAGACTTAGGGTAGTCTTGAACTGTTACTCAAATTTGTGTTGATCTTCCTGCCTCAGCCTCCCAAGTCTGGGATTACAGGTGTGCGCCACCACACCCAGGTCATTTTTTCCATTTCCTAAATCATTCAAGGCTCCCCTCCCTGCTCTCCATCTGTCCCTCCCCAGCTCTGTCCCTCCTGTTCACCCACACAGTTCTCTGTCCACCCATGTGCACGCCTCCACTTGATTCCGATGGCAGCAAAGCTGAGTGCTGTGTGCCACCCTGAGCCCAGTGTGTGATGTGGCTTCTGTCCCTTAGTCCTTCGCACTTCTGTACCATCCTGCCAGGACCCCTCTCTTAGAAGAGGAAACGGGTTTATACCGACGCCTGTGCTAGCTCACCCAGGCAAGAAGCTGGGCTTGGGATGGAGGGTCCCGTCCTAGCAGGGATGCTGACAGGTGCTGGGGCAGGCAAGGAGCCACCCTGTAAGGCTGTAGGAATCAAGCTGGGAGGGCAGAGCAAGCCAGGCTGCTGGGTGCGGAAGGTGGACCCAAGTGCTTTGCGTTTCCCTGGAAGAACTGGAAGCCTTCGGAAAATTTTAAGCAAAGGGTGATGGCAGCGACTTGCATTTCAATAATGAGTTGCCCTAACTGCAGCTGTGACCCAGGCTGCAGTAGGGAAGAGAGTGGCAGCCAGGGGAAGCCAGTGAGGGCAGTGGTCATCCCCACTCTGCATGAGGTTGTCCGGCCCAGACTAGAGGTGGGGTGGTGAGAAGGGGTGGCTGCCCAAGGAGGGGCCTCCTCCTGGGCATCAGAGGCGCTCCCAGCTGGGGCAGAAGTTGCAGGCTGGCAGGGGACCTCCACAGAGGCCACTCCGCCAGCCTCCTGCTGCTCCACATGTTTGGATAGCCACTTCCTGTTTGCTTAGCTGATTGGCTAGAGAACAGGGCTGCTTGGCCTAAGGCCCACATCCAGCCTTGGAACTGTCCCCAAAAGGAGAAATCAAGGGTCTCTTCTCTCTTTTGCTTTCAAGTCACAATTAGTCCTTTACTGCAGGAATGTAAGAGCAACTGCAAATATTGGGGTGGCCCTTCACAGCAAAAGAGTGGGTTTTGTTGCTTTGTTGTTGTCATTGATTCATGCTCCCAAGGTGGCTGCAGCACCTCCGGGCCTTGTTATCTGCTGTCCAGGCACCACAAGGAACATGGACAACTAGGTATGGGGAAGATTTTCTCCTATGGAGGCTTTACCTTTGTAGTTCCCAACAGAGCTTATATGTCTGTGTCGCTGGCCAGACCTGTGCCCCAGGACTTCCCCCACCTGCACGGTGTGCGGCCCCAAATGAATTCAGAGTTCCATATTAAGGACTAGGAGGATGGGGCTATTGTAGAGACATGGAGGAAACGCCTAGAACACAAGGAAACTGAAGACCAGGCAATGAGGGACATCCTATGAAGGCCACCCAGCAAGGGAAGACCTGGGGTGCACTTAGAGACCCAGGCATGCGGGTGTCCTTGCATGCGGAGCTGTCATTCCTTCCTCTGTATACGAACCTCACCCTCACCCCCTGCGTGACAGCCTGCTGGGGCCTCCAGGTGTCCTGCAGATGTGGGTTAACTGGACTGCCCTGGGGTGGGGGGTGGCAGACAGATTGGAACCAGTTGTGACCCGACTCACACTTTCCCGGCATCTTGCTCTGGTGCTGTGCGGTTGGCACTGGCACTGTGTGGGCGCCGTTCAGCCGCAGAAGCGGAGTCCAGGGCGGGGGTGGCTTCATTAAAGTCATGAACACAACTAAATTAGGGCGCAGACTCCCTCATCCTCAACCCCCTGCCACTTCCCTGGAATGATGGGCATCCCAGGCCACTCCATGTTTCCACTCCTACAACTCTGCTTTAGTTCTTTCGCGTCCTGGTTAGCCCTTGTGTATGGGGTCTGTCTAATCCGTTGTTTCTTTGACTTCTAAACGTGCTAGCGTGCCCTCTGCATCCATGGGCTCCACATTCCCGATTCTACCAATCAACGTTCAAAAATATATAGAAAAAAGTAAGTCGGACACCATTTCTCATCATTATCTCCTGGTTGATACAGCACAGCCACTCGTTACAGAGCCCTGCCATCGGGTTGGGGATTACGTACACCCCCGCGGTGGCTCGGCTCTAGCAGACGCTGGCATGTTATACGAGGAACCTGGGCATTTCCTGCAGGAGGTCAGTCCCCTGTACATCTGGAGGGACACACTTACCCTCCATCTCTTTGAGCTTGCTATAATTCCCGAGTTTCCTGACACGCTTTATGCCTGCTGTCTATTGGGACGGTGACTTCCCGGCGTGCTTTGTCACCTTTGACTGTGAGGCCATCGTTAGCAAAGCCACAATCCCTGAACGCACCCTGCACAGCCGGGGTCCCCGAGCTCCCCGGCCAGGTCTCCGAGGGCATTTTAGCGCCTCCGTTCCCCATGCCAGTGTGCTGCCTCCTCTCCTTGTGTTGGACCTGGACTCTGCCCTTTCACATGGTCCCGCTGCACCCAGCTTTTGTGTATTTGTGGGCTGAAGGGGAGCTTCTGGTCATGCCTCCAGCCACAGCTTGATAAGCGACTGAAGCACTTTATTCCTTCAATAATGTTTTTAAAGTATTTTTTATGGACTAAGCCCTTCGGGACCCCGAAATGCCACAGACATGTCCACTGCCCTCGAAGGGTCACGAACAAGCATGTTGTTGGGTCACAGATGAGCTGTGTGCAGAGGGGCCACTGCTGCCTTCAGAGTGGCAGGAGCCCCGGGCCACAGAGATGTATGTGTGCGTCCAAAGGAGCTGACCCGGTCCAGCCCCCAACAGTGGAGATGCGGCCTAATGTCCTGCTTGCACAGCTGGGCCCCGTCTCATATCACATCATCCTAGTTGGGAATGTGGCTCCTTCCTCATGTCCCACAGAACCATCCGCTGCACAGCATGTTCTTGTCCCCAGTAGGCCTGACTGATGGCCCGAGAAGAGGAACAGATACAGCTTCATGTGCAGTATCTGACCTCACACTTCATAAAATGCAAAAGCCAGGCTGATTCGCTGCTACTTCTCCCAACTCGGAACCAACCACTCTTGCCCTCCTTTCTCCCTCTTTTCTTCCTGTTCTTCGTGTCATTAGCCAGGTCTTTTAGAGGAGAGCCAGAAAGCTCCATTCAAACTGACTCGGGTGAAAAGAAGTTGATTCTTGAAGCCGGAAGGTCTGCCTCAGGTGCAGCTTGATCTAGGTTCTCAGTGCTGCAGAACACGCTGATCTCTGCTTTGGTCTAAAGAAAGTTCTCTTCCCTCAGTCCTTCCGGGGGAGTTAAGCAAACATGTTCAAAGTTCTGAGCCCAGAAGAAAGATCATCTCTTGTCCCAGCCACCCCAATCCAGTCCTGGAACTGAGTGTCACTGGGCCAATACATCGTGGGTCCCCAGGTAGTGTGATGGTGATACCTTCATTATGTGCCCACTAAGTTAGACAGCAGCGAATCTGCTACACTGTGTCACTGAGGCCCTCTGGGAGAACCAAGAGGGAGTCCATCTGTGCTCGGACAGACAGCACGTGCCCTGTGCAGCTCGTGGCCAGATCCCCTCTGTTGCCTCAGAGCATCCCACCCACGATAAACAAGAGCCTGGGTAAGAGGTGGGTGTGGTGTCACATAGCTGTGACCCCAGCATTTAGAAGGCTGAGGCAGGAGGACTGCAAGTTCAAGGCCAGCCTGAACCACATAGACAACGCTGTCTCAAAAAGCAAACAAGACTCTAGATTGTGGAGGCCTACGGAGAAAAGCTGGTTAGACATGGACAGGCTTGTCTTAAAGTCAGATTTCCTGGATGCAATTGTGTCAGGGACGCGCTGTACCCCTAGCTGTGCTGCTCTGGCGCAGCTCTGCTTGCTAGTGTGTGTGTGTGTGTGTGTGTGTGTGTGTGTGTGTGTGTGTGTTGGGGCAACAGTGAGACTGCTGTCTGTCTGTCCCCTTCCCTCACAGGACCCCTGGGAAGCATGAAGGTCAGGCTGTCCTTTGGCCCTCTCCCAGGGCAGGCCCCACAGGGAGACTGCTCAGGCGAGCCGGTGCAGGGACAAGTGTGTGCAGGGATGCCACCTTCCAACTATCTCAGCACAAGGGCACTGGCACCCAGGACTTCAGCACAAGGTGCCCCTGGGGGGCCTGGCTTGGGGCTCTGTCAGCGGCAGCCCCACTCCTGGGAGAGGTCGCCTGGCCTGGGACAGCCCCCTCTTTTGAATGTCTTGGCCACCCACGGGCAGAGGAGCAGCTGGGCCTTGGCGGGAGCCTCCAGGCACCTGTACGCGTGAACAGCAGGCAGGTGGGCCTGGAGCTCAAAGCTTGTGAAAGAAATGTAGGCAGGTGGCCAGGCTTCAGTGGTGGAGGAGGGGCAGAGACCCTGTGGCTTTGTTGTCCCCCAGGAGGAAAAGCCAGGAGGTGGCAGGAGGGCAGCTCCATCCGCTGGCCACCATGGAGGGGACACAAAGATGAGGCCGCTGAGGGCCAGCCCTTTCTTCTGCCTCATCCAGGAGCCCTGTGGGTCAGGGGCAGGATGGAGGGAGGGGCGGGATGGGGGGGTGCGGGCCCACCAGACTCACAGGGTGGTGGCTCTGTCTGTTATCCTTGGTGGTGTTGTGTGTGGGTGGCTGCAGGCAGGGACAGAGGCCCCTTCCAGGGACAAAGCTCAGACTCAAGGTGCCAGTGAGCTAAGGGAGCTCCGGGCATGAGGCCTGATCAGAGTCATTTGTACCTCCAGCGGCCTCAGCTTCCTGCTCTGCAGTGTACTTAGCCCCACCGGCCAGAAGCTCTACAGATTCGCAGGGCTGAAGTTAATAAAGTACCTAAA